AAAGTACTGGAAAATGAAATCATAACCTACCAGTTAACTTGAATATTTGTAAAACTAAAAGAGAATAACTATAGAAGAACCAAAAGTGAATGTTTAACTTAGAATCCTAGTTCTTAGAATGCTATTTTCTGAACAGTAGTGCATGTAGTGAGTGACCCAGATAAGACACCCAGAGAGCAAAATTCCCCTCCATATATTCTCTTAAGAAAGAAATGATAGAAGCTTTTTTTCTTTCTTACAGCAAAATAGGATTAAGAGATGCTTTTGTTTGATTAAAAATATTTACATGCAATACACTGAATCTTCCTTTAGACTTATGATGTAAATATTAGGTTTGTTTAATATAAGGTAATTTATGTTACTATACAAAGCTCCTTCATAAGAAGCAGCTTCACATAAGAAAAAAGTATCAACCCCAATAAATTAACCCATCCATAATCACTTCTTTCAGAAACACTGCCTGTTGTAGTTTTTCCCTATCTCTGAATCTCCATGAAAAACTCACCTTAGCAGAACATGCTACATACCACAGAAACCAAGTCCTACTGTGTCTAAGCCACTCTTGTGGGTTGAGTACAGGGTCTGATGCATGAGCACACTTTACTGTGAAAAGACTTCAGTGTGTTCTAACTCATGGCTGTGAGCAAGATGCCATGCAGGACATGAAATAATGAAAGATTGTTTAGAGAACATGCTACAAATCTCTAACCTCTGGGTTAATGTATTACACTCCCATTATGCAAAGAAACACATCTACATTGAAACAGGGACTTATAGGGGACAGCATGTAACGGTTTCCAAACCTTTCTTCTTTTTAATCTTTTCTCCTTCATGTCCTCCTCTTCCCTCTCCCTCTCTTCCACCCCTCCTCCTCCTCCTCCTTCTTTAGATCTTTAATAGAAAACAATTTTCTAAAAGGAAGCCTGTTAGAACCCTGGGCAGAACACAACCATGCTTTCCAGTGTGTGAGCCCAATAATAACAAATACAGACGGACAATCAAAAGAACCAGAACACACAGCACATGACTGAAGATGAATAGGCAAGAGAGGTGAATTATGATCATAAGATTTGCATAAGGAAATTTTTAGCACGTTGTAGCTTGATTTCCTAGAAGGAATTGAAACATTTCATTAATAAGTTTGTCCTCTACTTTCATTCTTGAATATTCTTGTGTTATCTTTTATATTGAATTTTTATGAATTTCATATAGTATATTTTGATAGTATTTAGATTCCCTACCCTATCTTCAACCCTTACTATTTCCTGCTCAACTTCATATATATATGAATGCGCCTATAGAGTCAAATTTCTGTCCCTAAATGCCTTTTGGTGTGGGTTCACCCACTTAGAGCATGGTTAACCTACCAAGAGTCACACTCTTAAATGAGATTGACTATCCCCTCCCAACAGTCATCAGCTGCAGTTCCTCAGGTGGGGCTGAAGTTTCTTACCAACTTCCCGATATCTATACTGGGATTTTGTCTTGCTTGAGAACCCAGATTTAAGTCCATACATTTACAGCCAACTGATTTTTGACAAAGAGTCCACAAATACACACTGGAGATAAGAGAGTATGTTCAACAAATCATGCTGGTCAAACTGAATAGTGGCACGTAGAAGAATGAAACTAGATGCTTATCTCTCACCCTGCACAAAACTCAACTCCAGATGGATCAAGGACCTCGACATAAGACCCAATACACTGAATCAGATAGAGGAAAAGGTAGGAAATCTGCTGCAGCTTGAGGGCACAGTAAAGAACTTTCCGAACAGGATTCCTATAGCACAGACGTTAAGTCAAACAATTGACAACTGGGACCTCATGAAACTAAAAAGCTCTGTACAGCAAAGGAAGCCATCATTCGGATGAAGTGGCAACCTGCAGAATGTGGAAAGGTCTGTACTACCTGTACCTCTGGCAGAAGCTTATCTGAAAAAACTAAACACACAAAAAAGAAAGAAAGAAAAAACTCAATTAAAAATTGGAGCAATGAAATAAATAAGGAGTTCTAAAAAAAGATGAAACATGGTTGAGAAATACTTAAAAACATGTTTTACATGTTTACTCAACAAGGAAATGAAAATTAAAACCACTTTGAGATTTCATCTTGAATGGCTAAAAATAATAAAAAACAAACCAGGAAAAATGTTGATGAGGCTATGGGTAAAGGGAAAATTTTACTCATTGCTGATGGGAGTGTAGACTGGCACAGGCACTATGGAAATCAGTGTGGACATTCTTCAAAAAGCTAGACACCGATCTAACATATGATCCAGGAATACCATTTTGGGGCATGTACCAAAAGACTCTGTAGCCTACCACAGAGATACCTGTGCATCATGTTTATTGCTGCCATTTTCACACTAGCCAGGAAATGGAAATAACCTAATGAACAGAATAGTGAAAGTATAGTACATTGACACAATGGAATATTACTTAGCTGTTAAAAATGAAATTATGAAATTTGCAGGTAAATGGATGGAACTAGAAACAATCATTCTGAGCTGAGGGACCATAAGTCCCAAAAGACAAATGTTGCATGTTCTCTCTCATAGCTGGACACTAGCTTTGAATTCTTAGATATGAATTCTTAGATTTTTCAATTAGAAAAACCAGAGCAGTCAGGAAACTAATAAAGGGTCATGGAAGGGGAGCTCCATGGGTGGGACATAGAGTGCAGGGATATAAAGGGGAAAAGGGAAATAATAGAGTAGGAAGGTTCAATGGAGTGGGGAATGGGAGGGCGGAACAGAGGAGGGAGTATGGGGAGGGATAAGTAATAAAAAGGCCTTTCGAATGAGTCATATGGAAATCTACCACCATAGAAGCTTCCTATAGTATATACACATACATCATAAAAAAGATTAAAAAGAGTTACCTTACAACAGGGGGACATTGCCCTACAAGACACCTTAGGCTAGCAGAGTAAAAACCCAATGCCAGGAAGGGACTTCCTCTTCTGAAGCTGTTGTCCATGGGTTCCATAGTCCCTCAAACTATACTTCCTATTGCCCCTGCTCTTGCTTACCATGAGAACTTGATGATAGAAGCCTACTGGTGCAGACACTACATAAATAAGCTTTCAAGCTTTCAAGTTGCTACAACAACTGGCCTAGCAAGATATTCCCACTGGTACAAGAGTGGCATGACTATTATGGGAGTAACTAACAATTTCCTAATTGAATTTAAGGTCTGCTTCATCAAATGGAGCCATATCTAACACTGAAATCAGTCCTAAGAACCTATGAATAGATATGTCACCCAGCCACAGGGAAGAGCCTAATACTATTATTCTCTAAATAGATATAGGAGTATACTGACTTCTAATGACTTATTATATCCACAGATTGATGCATTTCTTAACTCTCACCAGAGAAGCTTCCTTACGCAGCAGATGGTGATTAAAATAGATAACCTTGACTACAGAGAATAGAATCTTTAGAGTGGTTATCCCTATATCAAACTTCTGCCTTTCAAAGGTCAGGGATCCTTGCAGACAAAGAGACAGAAAGATTGTGTGAGCCAGAGGTGGTGGATGACCACAAGGAAACAGAGTTTTCCAGAGAGCTGGGCAGTTACTCATATGAGCTCATTGCGATGGTGACAGCATGGACAAACCCTATGTAAGCTCAGATGGTCCTTGTTAAGCAACAACCCTCTTTTCAAATAAAATTTAATAAGGAAAAATAGATAACACTACATCTACAGTGTAGTAAAGGTAAGGCGAGGCATATTAAGTGAATTTGAATGAGCGGGTTTTCATTTCGTCTGCTTGATAACTCACATGTAACTACTTCCCAATTTATTGATGACAGCCTCCACTCCAAATATTCTACAATATTATAAGCAGCAAATAACCAAATAAAAAGAAAGACACGAAGATTCTACCTGACTCAATGTACCATATTCATGGATCATGCTGGGAACCATCACCCCAATTAGCCCCAGTAAACTAATATCCAGAAAACTAAGATGAATAGTCATCCTTGATATGCAAATAAATCATTTGAAACAAAGGAAAATATTTCAGTTGACCAGCAAAGATGCTATGTTTAATGACCTCAAGTATGATCTTTCAAAACTGTGGCATTTCTCAAGGGCCACTGTAATGCAGTGTCCTTTGTTAAACACCAAACACTGAACCCCCTGAAACCTGCCCCCTGAAACCAAGACAGAGTTTGCAAGTGTGGGTGCTGGCACTGAGGGATACAAGGATCATAGGGAATGGCAGCTGCTGGGGTCTGTCTTGAGCACCTGTACCCTTGTGCTCTGCATACCAGCATTGACATAAAATTTGGCATGGGTACTCCCATATCTCACAGACCTTGGTTTTCTGAATTTTTACCAGCATATCTGGTTCTATTTTTTTTCTGGTACTGATCATAGTTTTAATCTATTAGTTCTCACTTGGCTTTGACATTTCCTACTCCCTTCCTATAGCTTCAGTGCTGGCTGTGGTCGTCATACCTGCCTGCTCTGTGTTCCCAGACAAGCACTTGAGTCTCTGGTCATCTGCTCCTGTTTTCCCAGAGTGAAGATTCCACTGATTGAGGGAATCTTCATATGAAATACATGTTTCTGTGTCTGGACTCTCACAGTGTTGATTACTTATATTATTCAATTGTTCAATATCAATTTGCTTGTAGTCATTCGGATAGTAGAGGATGCAGGGTTCAAAGCAAAGGAGTTTGTGGCTCACTCTGTGTGTGCAGGGGTATTTCTCAGAGTTTACTCCTTAGACTACTAATTCTAGAATTATAAGGCATGTGTGTTTGAAATTCAGATCCATGTGTCCACCTTAGACCAGAATTTATTAAGGCAATGTCTGTAGCTCTGAATATAATAAATTGCATGAGTGATTTATTTAATCATACTGAGGTTTGAAAAGCATTCATCTAAACTGCAAACAACCATCCATCCACCCAAATATCACCTCTGACAAAGTGCCATAAACACAGAAGAACAAAACTGACAAGACACAGACCTGAACTCCTTACCTCTCATAGCTCCCACCAGTGTGATTGAGCTCAGATGCTTACGGAAGGCCTGCCCCAAGTTGTGGAACTCTACTCCCTTCAGCTGGACAAGGCTTGGCTCCTCTGGGAAAGACTGAATGATGATTCTGGCCCCCAGATCCCTGGATCCCAGCACCTTCTCACTCTTGGAATATAAGCAATGCTTCAAACTACCTGAAATACATGAGGAAATCCAAGGAACTTTCAATGTATGCTAATAGACAAATCCTCCCATTTGCAAGGTACCATGGACACAAAGGATAAATCAATATTGTTTATTTTATTTAATAATCTTCACTTTTATCTGTTCTTCTCTGTGGGTTATTATTGAAGTGATCTAATAACTAGGACATGATACTGTCTTTATTTCCAGAAATACCACTGAAAACTATGAAGTGAATTGCTGTCACAAAGTGTTATATTACAATCCAAAGACCTAACTATATTGATGATGATTTCAAACTAAAAGATTCCTTGGAGGGAAGGGAAAGTAAAATGACCTCTTTATAGTTGGTATTTGTAGGGATAAGTTGTAAGCACTGACTGCTGTCACAGCACCTTTTAGTTTTGAAATACACAATGAAGTTTCACCTTTACTATGATGTCATGTATTTAGGGACTTAGCAATAATATCACTGCTAAAATGGCAAAGGGTTCCAGAAAAGTAACAGATTCTCTACATGTCTACTTCTCCAGACAAAAACTACTTGAACCTAACACATAACTGCCATGGCTACAGTTTTAAGAGGGTATCACCCAGGATATTTTCTGCCATACATGACATCTGATGACATGAACAAATATCAGGAGTATCTCTGAGTATATACCTAGAAGAATCAAAGTCAACCTAATTCAGATAAACCTACAATTCTCCTTTGCTTTGTTACTGTGTAAACATGACAACCAAAAGCAACTTGTTGGGAGGAAGGGGCTTGTTTAAGCTTTTACTTCCCTGTCACAGTCCATCACTGAGAGAAGTGATGCAGAAACTGCAAGAACTGAAGCAGAAACCATGGAAGAATGCTGCTTACACTCTGGGTTGCTCAGCTACCTTTCTTTTACAGCCTACAAGGAACTGCCTAGGTATGTTGTTGCTCACAGAGGGCTGGACCCTCCCATATCAATCATTAATTAAGACATGGCCACAGGCCAATCTGACCCGGAAAATTCCTCAATTAAGGTTCCCTCTTTCCAAATGGCTCTAGGTTGGATTGAGTTGACAATAAAAACTAACCAGCAACCTTCATTCCCATCTTTATTGCTGAACTATGATTAATACCAATTACATATTAATGAATGAAGAGGAAGCAATAATATAAAACAATGTGTCACTATCTTCTAAAGTTCAAAATCTTCTCCTTTTGCTAGCATTCAGAGAATTCATCTGTAAGAAGCACATAAAGAGATATGGTATATTCATATACTTTACTACAGTTTTTGGTGCCAGTGACCTGTGAAATTGTCAGCCAGTCAGACCTTGTATTTTGGACTTGGCTAGCTTGTTTTCACAATCCAGCCTGACGCTAAGCTGAGTGACTGCTTCTAAGATTATTGCAGTTATATTCGTGTGTTTGATAAGACTGAAGATCTTTTCCATCATGAGCTAACAGATCTATTCTAGAAGCATTGATCTTATTGGCAGCATGACCAAACTCACTATTTTGCAAAATGTGAGCAGAGAAAACCTGTATGAAAACTGTCAGAAAAGTGAGATCCCAGTTTTGCAGAATTGTGAATCTCTCAATATAGTAAATCTAATCCACTCAACTACTTTCTTTAAAACTTACATATTTTTCAGTTGATGGCTTAGAGTAGAAAGGTCAAGGCCTCTCTCCACTAGTTATAACATTATATCTACCTGCATTTATATGCACACACCTCTCAAACTTTTAACTCTAGCCTTGATATTTCTACCATGGTCCAAACATTATCTCTCTTCATTTGCTGGCCTGTCTTCTCAGTTTCAATGTGTACAAAATTAAACTCATGATCACCACCACCCTCCCATCCCCAAACCTTCTCCTCTCCCCATCTCGGCAAATAGCCTCATCATCCATCCAGAACTCATGCCTGGAAGTCATCCTTGACACCACCATCCTGGACCAAAGTTGACAAATGATATCTTCACAGCATGTGAAAGCCTCATAATCTACAGTCTGGGAAACCAAAACATAGCCTACTAAACTAACCATCCCTGAAATAGATGTTTAATAGGTACATCAATGTGATTCAGTGCCTGCTATTCTACTAGAAGATAAATAGACTTTACCAACACTTACCTAAAGTATGTGATAGTTCACTCAGAAAACGAACCCCCAAAAGGGAAGGAGGTACAAGTCTAGCCAATAAGAATGAACTGCCTGAGCCTATGGTACTGACATTATGGTTTTCTGGAGAATCTTAGAAGCCTGAAAGATGTCATTACAACACTTCAAATCACTGGGTTAAATTATTTAACAGGATTTTTTCCAAGACAAACAATTAAATTATTTCTTTTGTCTTTTGTCTATTTCTTCTACTTTTTGGAAAGTGAGAAATGAGAGGAAATTACAAGTTATCGAAAGCTTTCTGAAATTTATAGAACCATATAACCTCTCGAAGATTAAGAGCATATTCCATTTTGAAGGAGACCAAGCACAGCCCTGCCACATAGCCCCTAAAAATGAAAACAATATTTTCACTCATTGGATTTTCCTATCACACTGCTTTTCTACCTTCCTTGGCATCGGCTTCTTGGCAGGAGGTGAGGAGCTCCATCCTCTCTTGGGTGAGATTTCCTTGTATGGTAATACTCCTGCTGAGCAGAGCCACTGTGACCTTCAAACTAAGATTCTCCCCAATTACCCAGTCCTCTATGGAGTTGTAAGAATATCTGAAAAAAAGAAAAAGAAAAAGAAGACGATGCATTTGAGGATATCACCCCACATCTTATTAGGAATGGTAAGCTGTTAGATTATGGTAATTCTCTGTTGCAGGGTATTATCTATTTAGAAATTCAAATACTGAAGAAGGAGCCATGTGCTAAAATCTTTAAAGTACACTGTACAAAGCACAGACTTTGTACTAAGACAGATGTTCTAGAGTCAGAGAAAACTATGTCTCTGTATAATCTTTAATGCTTTATAGTTTTCTTATCAAGATGTTTAGCATTATTTAATGCTACCATATCTCATCAAGAGACAGATGTCCAGGTCCCAACCCTTTTAAAATCTCATCTCCTTCTATATGAGTTTAGCCAAGTTGATAAGCAAATACCTCAAAGGAGACCTGAGATGGAGGTCTGCATTGTGCACCGTTTCCACAGTGACCACCTCCTCCATTGGTCTGGCACCTTCAGCACCCATTGCACTGATGATGACAACTTCATCCCCCTGGTGCCAGTCCACAACATCTTCTAAAGCCAGCATTGTGTCTCCTGCATGTGCAGCTGCTCGGAGATAGGTGACAGTTACTTCTGATACTGAACCTAAAGTGACCCAAAGAAAACTTGTTTAGATACTTCCAAAATTAATGCAAATAAGAACAAATGAATATATAAAGGTACTACAAAGAAAACATTTTGGGTACCGTGAGGACATTTAATCGAGGGAACTGCCCTATCAAGGAAGTCAGGAAAGCACTTTCCTGAGGAAGTGATATTAGAATTTGGAGAGGGGAGATTGAGAACAAAAAGGTAAAAACTATTTGGGAGTGAAGGAGGAGTATTTAGTGAGAGGAGTTCGCAGATATTCAGTAACACCAATAAATATTTATGTCACATAGGGAATGTATATCACAAGTCTATATGTTCCCAATTATTTATCTTGGCAACAGAGCTTGTATCTGAGTGTTGAGCTTGTAAATTATGCTTATTTTCTTTTTCATTATTTCTAGATATCTAAAATATATAACACGAAGATCTTGTTCTTTTATTTTTACATTAAAAATGTAATGATACTGAAAGTTTTTGCCTGAGATCTCCAAATGCATTCTTATTTATTTCTTCATATTCAATTATTTTTTAAAATTTCTTTTTGCTGAATTTTTGTGTATTTCATACAGAACATTTCAAACAATCTTAATTATACCCCCGTTCCCACTGGCACGCTTCCATAGCCTCCCACCCCCCGCCACTGGAGTCTATATACTCTGTCATCCCTGTTATGGCCACTGTGTCATCAGTGTTCCCAGACATTCCCCAGTGCAAGTCCATCCATTGAGATCTAGTCAGCCTATCTAGAGTCCCTTGTTTTAGGAAGATCAGCTCTTCTTCACCTAGCAGCAATCAGTTGCCAATATTTCTTCAGATAAGATTGGGGTCTGCTGTTCATTGTTCCAGTTCCCTGCTGGGTTTTTGTCTGCCTGAGTTTGCTTGGGACTTGTGTGTGCTGACACCATTGCCCTAGAATCATACAAGCAGGTCCCAAGAGCTGGTAAGATTCTGTTTTCATATGGTCCTGCACCTCCTCCCTGGCTCTTACAATCTTTCTGCCCCCTCTTCAGTGATGGTCCCTGAGCCTTGGGCGGGTGAAGTTTAATAAAGAAGTCCTGTCCAAGGGCCATGATTCAGCAGACTCTTGTTGACCTTTTGTGTTCCTTGCCCTCTGCTGCATGATGGAGTTTCATTATTGAGAACTGAGAAGTTCATTAATGTCCTGTCTTTACCCATGTTCTATGTTCCATGAGCCTTAGGTGTAGAAGTCACATTGTAGATGTGTCATTTAGGCCTGAGCAATTCATAGACAACGTCTGTGTGTGACCAATTGTGGTACTTGATAATAGTATCTGACTGGTACAAAATGATCTTCTTTGATGAGTGGTGACTGGCAATAGTCAATAAGAATGTGATATTGCGCTAAACAAGAACCTGGAAAAGCAAGCCTCAGGATCAATAAGTGGCACGTTTTTTTATATTAGTTTCATCTTTTGTTTTGAACTAGGTTTTAAAATACTTTTCTCATCTATAAAAGGTGCTAATAAAAACAACCAAGGATTGATGGTGTGGTGTGGAAAACACAGGAACTGCCAGCAGACCAAATTTACATTTGAGCCAGTCTTACTATCTGAGAAAAACACATCTAAACGGGCTTCATCTTCCTCAACTACTCCCAGCGGTAGCATGAACTTCCATCAAAAGGTTTAGGAGGATTAAATAACATAGTAGCTAATGAACGAAGCATCTAGTTTAGATCTCACTGTGTAGTAAACAGATATTGATAATTATGTAGTTGTTTTCTTTTCCCTTTATCACACTGTGCTTTTAATACTGTATGTATGCTTGTTTGTATATGCACCATGTATGTGAAGGTTACTGAGGAGTCCAGAAGAAGATATCAGATCCCCTGGAGCTGACGTCCCAAGCAATTGTGACTCACCCAATGTAGGTGCTGGGAACAAACCCAGACCCTTTGCAAGAGTAGCAAATGCTCTGAACAGCTAAGCCACCTCTCTACCCTCCACATTGTGTTTGAAGATGAACTTTACTACTTCTTATTCCAAACACAAAAAGTGGATATTAGATCCCAATGTAGACATTCATAGTTCAAATCTAATGGGAAGAATTTATTTCAAAAATAACATAAGTAGCTCAAGCATGTGGTGCACACTTTTAATCCCAGGACTCAGAAGGCAGAGCAGGTGGATCTCTGTGATAGCGAGGCCAACCTTGTCTATACAGCAAGTTCCAGGCCAGTACAGCTACAAGGAGACCTTGTCTTAAATAATAATAATTCTGTGGATACACTGTAGAATAATAATAATAATAATAATAATAATATTAACAGTAACATATGCAGAGTGGAAAATTCCTTCCAAGTAGTCATCCTAGGACTTTGTGGGTTGTTTCCTTCAAATTTTAAAACTGGGTATATCTCGTATGAGATTACCAAGCAAAGTTGAAGGGAAAAGCCTGTGACTCTACATAACTCAGTCTGTACTACACTCCAGCATATCTGTGTCACCCTCCTCATACCAAGAGCACGAGTCTTTATCAAAGATTTAAGGAGATCATCTGCTTTACAGTTTACACTAAAATTCTCCAGCAGAGGTCAAGGCAAAGATTTTCAAGCCCTTGTCTGAAGCAACACTCCAGAAAACACATTGCTTACTCCCAGCTCCTTCTTTTCCCTCAGTACATTTCCTTCCTCCTTTGCAATAGATCATAATCTACCTTTAGCCCACAGCAAGTTACTGTCCTCCCTTGTTGCACTAAAGTAAAGTAATAATACTTACATTTCTAACTACAGAGGTGGCCAACGATAAATCATTTTCAAATTATTTTAAACTTCCCTCTTTATTTATTTGTCTGAATGTGCACAGACACTTGTACCAACCATGCTGTTCTAGGCTTAAAAGGGTCTTTGGGTTAACGATGCAATTTCAGAAGTTTACTCAGGCAATAATTTTATCTTAAAAAACACTTACAGAGTTCAAAATTTCTAATTATAGGGCAGGTGAAAATTAAGGCATAAATCATCCCCAAAGAAAATAATTTTAATTTTATTCCTTGTTTATATATCTTAACCTTTGGGAATAACAAAATGAAATAAAGTTTATTTGTATGTATACATAAATGTATGAATTTCTTTAACCGGTTCTTGATTATCTGTAGAGAAAAGTCTCTATGAGACATAGAAGAATGTTTATCAAAGATTGAACACTGTCGAAATTGTGCCAGATTGGTCACAGTTCATAGTCAATGCATGCTGAACATATATTATGTGCACAGAAGCTACACATGGTAGAATCAAATGCAGAGACAATGAACATGTTTCTCAGCTAACTATTCTTATAAAGAGAGAAGGAACAAAGAAGCTCAGAATTTTAAAATGTGTGTTTAAACATTACCATAAACTCATGTCCTTTCAAATGTTGACAGAGCCTCTCGACTGCAATAAAATTATCTCATAACTCATTCACTCTCATTACAAAAATGTCAACTCTCTGTGTGTGACTAAGACACGAAGCTGGACTCATTCTGAGTGCCAGCTTCACACTTCCCACTATAGTAGATAGTGACCTTTATGTGAGCTGCAATTACCTCAAGCTCAACATGTCAAAATAATTGCAATTGTCACCAGAGCTAGACCTTCTTGAGCAAAAGCTTTGAGAACATCTTCGATTTAAGCATGTCCAAGCCTAGCTGACTAATTGGTAGGCATCTGAATATATGAAAGACTAAATGAGTAAAAAAGAAAATAAAAAAGTCAAGTACAACAGAGATGGCAGCATGCCTCAGATAAGGCCTTTCCTGACCACCTAGACTCATGCTGAACCTGAGGGACAAACCTGATGGAGGTCTCAGATGCATTTTGCATCTGATGTTCTTCTGTCTGGACTTATCTTGCCAGACTGTGCAGTATTCTTTAGAATGATTATTCTACTTGATTCTAAAACAAGCCTCCAGTATCTCCTAACTATTCAAGCTGTGTGCTGTAATTTGTTACATTAAAATATTCCTCTTTTCTTCTGGGACTTAACACAACTGCAACTTGACCTCTGTTACTGAAACTACTTGCTTGTCTCAAACACCAAACATGACAGCAAAAGCAATACCTATTTTTGTTCATCATAATAGTGCCAAAGCCATTCACAGTGCCTGGCACATAATAGTTGCTCAATAAACACACCTTTTTATGAGGAAAAACGATACAGGGAACCAAGCACTTCAAAGTTTGAAGATCCAGTTGATTAGGCTGGACCCAGTGCCATGGAAAGGTGGTTACTGCACTTCATTGTAGGTTAGAGTACTCTCTCATACCTTTGGGTTTGACTACCTGAAAACAATAGAGACCTGCACCCTTGGACACAAGTTCAGTATTCTCATGGCAGCCACAGTGGCATGGGTGGGGAGGAGGTGATCCTTATCACCCCCCTGAATGGAGAATAATAAGAAAGGAATCAAAGCAAAAATAAAAGAGCATGAAAAGTGTCTTGTGGTAAGCAGAGCACACACACTGATTCCCTAACTCATGAGCAGTGCCTGGAAGAACACCTTCACAGCAGATAGGAAGGTGATAAAAAGCTAAAAGTTCTGAAACCAGAGGTGGCAGAAAATATTTCGTTCTCACTGCTGAAATATCTATAAGCCGAACAAGCTCAAGGAGGCCTGGGAAAGTTATCCAGTTAGATAGTCTATAGGCAGCACCATGTTATTTTAGCACTAAATCATTTTGTAGCTATTACAGTGAATACATCTTATCTTCCCACGCAGCAGTTAGCATCATGAAAGCTAGGCCACTGCTTTTCTTTGCATCAATGAAGGTCACCATTCCAAATACAGCCACACACAGAATTAACATTCAACTCATAGTACTTTAAATAGCTATTTGAAATATTGTCTTCCAAACAATTACTTGTAAAGCCTAGCAGATACATAAGTAACTGAGCATATAATATCCAAAGTGTTAGAAGCATAAAAACAGTGTATTTATTGAGGAATTAGAATAAACCCAATCTATCCTAAATGGTTTTTCTCTGAAGAACTGA